ACTTTCAATTTGACTCGAAACTAGTGACGCCGTTACATATCTCGTCACAGGTGATTGTAACTAGTGACGTGAAATAACGCTCACGTCTATTCACAACATTACTGTAGATTCTGTAGATAGGCTATAAGGAAAAAGGATGTGATATTTTATATCAATTTGTTTTTCACCATTTTGGCACTGGTGGTAGTGGTTTGTAACGATGGTGAGCGTTTGAAATAAAATTAACAGAAAAAAAACTTTCAACAGTCGCGTTTAAGTCGAAACAAAGCAAAAGTAGTTATTTTTATCAACACAAATACAAATACAATACATCCATGATACATTTTTACAGATCATCGGTGGTGACAATAGACAACAAAGAGTGACAGTGACAGCGTCACTTTTAACTTGAGTCTAGAGTAAACACAACACTTTAATGAGTTTTTAGCTTGGCTTTCTAATAATAACTTAAAATATGGAAAAAATAGCTAGCTTAGACCACGTTCTAATACCAAAGACTATACAGAGAACTTTAGCAATTAATAATATTACAACAATCTTAGAATTCCTTCAACAAGATGCAGAAAAACTATCAACCCTTACAAAGTTGAGTTTATCTCAAATTTTAGACATCAGGAACGATATTTTTAACAAATTCTCAGCTACAGTTATTGATGGTCCTTCGTTATTTACTATTTACAAAAGTAAACAAAGATTCATTGATACAGGAATAGACAGGTACTTAAGTATGAATACATTTTCAAACATTATATTTTATGTTATTGTGTTATTCATGTATTGGTTTAAGTTTAAACAATGTCTTAGGTGGTGGGATACCAGTTGGATATATAACTGAAATATGTGGTCTAGCTGGCTGTGGGAAGACACAGTTATGTTTTCAATTGGCAATTAATTGTGTTAAACAAGACAATAATATTCTTTATATTGATACAAAAGGAGATTTTAGTGCTATTAGACTTCAGAGAATTTTAAATGACCTATGTTATACTCATGAGGTAATTGATGTTCTAATTTTTACAGTTATAAATATGCATCACTAAATATAACTTTTTAAACAATTTTAGGAAATGGCACAATGTTTGGGTAAAATAAAAGTAGTCCAGATATGGACAATGGAGGAAATTATAGATTTGTTTAAGAAGATTAAAGATAAAACTTTAATTATACATAATCTGGTGTTAATAATAATAGATTCATTGCCATGTCTCCTACTGCAACATTTTGGTGATGATAACAAAATTGGTACATTTTTTTAATTGCTATTTATTTCCTCAGTATGTAGTATGTGGTTAAAACTACTCATCATCTATTTTTAAATCTAAGTAAAACATTAAAAGCAATACCATCCCTAAATTTGTAAAAAAAAAATATAGTTATTGTAGAGGTTTAGAAAGGATAGTATTCATTTTTTCCAGCCCTTAGTCAATTTTAGTGATCCTTAGAGAGCTGCAATTAAGGGACTCTGGCCTACACACAAACTCTTGAGTTTATTTCTCTTTCTGGATTGAATTCAACACCTAAGAACATATGAGAACCATTCTCTAATATAATGGTTGTAATCATGTTGCAATAAAAGTCATAAATGTCTTTCAGGTTTAAATTATTTAAACATACTGGTCAATCATTGCCGCTTTATTTGCAAGAATTTTAATGTTGGTATAGTATGTGTTAACATTCAAACAAGATGGGTTCAACAAGATTTAGCTGACTATGAAGGTATGCAAAGAAAATGCTTTACTTAAGTGAGTGATGAATAATACTAAAAGATATTCTTTCAGAAGAAGATGACCATCTAAGAGAGACATATGTTGAAAAACAAACAAGAGGTTCTGGGAAATACTGGCAACATATACCTGCACTGGTGTTTCAAATGGAAAAAATAATGAATACAGTTGATATTGAAAGTGACAAAAATAATTTTCCAGTAAAATTAACTCTGATTAGGACGAATAAAATAAATTTAGGACAAAAATGTATACTTAATGTGGGAAGCTCTGGTGTAAGATGATACATGCTAAACAATATTACTTAGTCTTCTAAGTACAATATTAATGCTGTTTTTTTTGTTGAACAATAAACTACTACCAAATATATCTCATTTATTTTATAACTAGTACACATCTGCCCAATCTGTTCCCAAACTAAAAATTTTGCAGGGATTGTGATGTTCTGAAATTGGAAATCAAATTGGTATAATATTCAAGAGCTCTTCAATTACTCCATCTTAGCTAAAATAATGTTTAAGTGTATAAGGCATTATAACTTAAAGCTAAAGATTATCTCCTACCTATAAGAGCATTTATTGTAAGAACGGAACGTTTTACATTTGTCATAGACAAAATAGAGCCAAGCACGGACGCCCGCCATTCTTGTTTGCTGTCAAATTTTGTAATGTATTCGATTGTGTTTAATTTTTTCGTTCTTGGAGCGTGAAAACATACATTATATTATTGTTTTTCATTTAATTTTCACTATGTCTAATATATCCCTAGATAAAGACACATTTTATCGTCGCATGAAAAAGTTATATGCAGCATGGAAGGTGGGTTACAATGCGTAGATTTTTACGCTCGCATTTCTATTCCCCTGGCTTATTTTAAAATTGTTACAGACTGCATGCTATGATTCTAAAAGTGAAGACGGATTGGCTAAGGCTGATTGTTTAATTTTTTGTGTTGGAGTCGACGAGGACACATTATACAGTAAATCAACAGCTTTACAGGTTTGTAACTTAATTTTTTTAACGTGCGCATGGACATGTTTTACTATTGAAATCTCTGTTATTGATATTCTGGGCGATATAACTTAGAGAAAAGTATTTTTACTGCTATTGTCCTACTGTTTTATGTTATTTATTTGAATGACATGATTTTGTAAGAATATTTAACAATACTCTTTGTAATAGTTCATTTGATAATTTGCAGACGAGATATAATGTGTATGAATACCATATATCTTCAGTATATTTCATATGTATCATTTATTTTTACAGACATGGTTATTTGGATATGAGCTTCCAGACACACTTACAGTACTTACAGAAAATAGTATGTGTTTTTTGGCAAGTAAGAAAAAAATCGAATTTCTAAGACAAATAGAGAATGGCAAAGATGAATCGGAACTACCTCCTGTTAAGCTTCTTATTAGAGATAGAGTAAGTATTAATGTGTGCACAGTGAACACCTAAAAGCATATATCAATGTATAAAAGGCAATGGCATCAATTTATGTGGATTTATCACATAGTTTTGTAGTAAATATATTTTGGTCAGTAATAGTTTATTGATAATATTTATAGGGGTACAAATTAAGTCTTTTATTTAGTTTTTGCAGCCTAAGTATACTCAGTAATGTTATGATGTAGCATGCCGTTATCTGCTTTATTATTGCTGACATAGACTTCATAATTTTTTTTCTTTCTTCCTAATTTAACAAACTTAGCATTTTTGTACTATGTCACATTAGTAAGTAGGGCAATTTTTTGTCATGTGTAAAATTGCCCAAGTTGCAAATAATGGTGAGACATGTTTGTATGAGTAACCTCAGACTTCACTTATTTATCTTAGAATAAAAAGTATTTTTAAGGAGTTCTAAAGTTTTACAAAAATCTTATTAGATTTCTATTTCAATGTAATTTAAGAATTAAAACCATGGAGATGTCATATTTTAATTGTTTATATATTTTGCTTATAGAATGATAAAGACAAAGAAAATTTTGGTAAACTTATTCAAGAGATTAAAAAATCTAAATCAGGTAAAACAATTGGCCTTTTTGTGAAAGATGTCTACCCCGGAGAGTTCTGTGAAAGTTGGAAATCAACTATGAAAGCGGAAAAATTTGATAGTATTGATATAAGTTCTTCAGCGGCATATGTAATGGCTCCTAAAGAAGATCCAGAAATTATTACAATTAAGAAAGCATGTATGGTCACAGTTGATGTTTTTACAAAATACTTGAAGGACCAGGTCATGGAAATTATTGATTCGGACAAGGTATTGAAATTAGCCATAATTTACATATAACAAATTAAATCATAACTTGGTGATTCTTCTGATCTTTAGACATCTATTATTTCATTGTATAGGTAAAGCAAACTGATGACTTGTGATCTAATGTAGAAAAACCTGGAAATTTATTTCTAGCAATACTGGCTATAAAGTTAATGCTTCAGCAATATTCATTTGCAATAACTTGTATTGTACAGTTTTAGTTACTGAAATCGACAATATAAAATTAATGCTTTTTTATTTAATTTTTCAGAAAGTAAAACACTCAAAACTAGCGGAAGGTGTAGAAGCAGCAATATCTGATAAGAAATATGTAACAGGAGTGGATACAACACAGTTGGATATGTGTTACCCCCCTATAATACAATCGGGAGGCAATTACAGTCTTAAATTCAGTGCTGTGTCGGACAAAAATCATTTACATTTTGGTTCAATAGTTTGTTCTTTAGGTGCTCGATATAAATCCTACTGCTCAAATATTGTTCGGACGTTATTAGTTAATCCGACAGATGATATTCAGGCAAATTATAATTTCCTTTTAAATGTGGAAGAGGAAGTAATGAAAAAATTAGTCGCTGGTGTAAAACTTTCCGCCGTTTATGAGGCCGGATTGGCATTAGCTAAGAAAGAAAAGCCAGCATTGGTTGATAATCTTACAAAATCATTCGGGTAAAAATATTGTAATTGTCCATACATTTAATTTATAAAATGGGATAATTTTTTAATGTTTTTTTTGTTTTTTTATTTTATAGTTTTGCAATGGGTATTGAGTTTCGTGAAAGTTCGATAGTGATCGGACCTAAAACGTCAATTGTTGCTAAAAAAGGAATGGTTTTTAACATCAACATAGGCTTGGCAAACCTCACTAATAGCGCGGCAACAGAGAAGGAAGGAAAGGTAAGCAAAATATAGAAAATTTTATTATTATATTGAAAATTCGCGTTATACTAAAATTTATGATAATTTTTTAAATGTTAAACAATTTTTTTTTTCAAATTTCCAGACTTATGCATTGTTTATCGGTGACACTGTATTAGTGAATGAGGAACAACCAGCTTCTCTCCTAACACAATCAAAAAAGAAAATAAAAAACATTGGTATCTTCTTGAAAGATGATGATGAAGAAGAGGAAGAAGAGAAGGAGAATAAGACTGAAATACTTGGTAAGAGTTTAATAAGAAAAGGATAAGCTGTAATGCTTTAATGTTGAAAAAAATTCGTTGTGAGATAACATTATGGCATTTTTAATGAGATGTAAAAAAAAGCAATAGTATTTTTGGCGCATTACAGGGATATTCTTAAATATTCCCCACTTAAAGCTTTTTTCTTTTCATATCAATGGAGTGTTTTTTTTCTGTTTGTTCTGTTACTGATATAATTTTATTTACTTACATGCAAACCTGGACAATTAGAAAATGGAGGTAAGTGTTTTTTTTTATTAATATTGTTAATGCATGACAAAATAGCAAACTTAAGAGAGATTAAAAAGAAAAGTTTAGTGTAAAAATTATTCAATACTCTTGCGTTAAGAATAAGTTAAATTAATTTGTTTTATAATACGTTTTTTTATATTTTTTATGTTATATCTTAGGTCGCGGCAAAAGAACTGCTGTGATAGAATCCAAGTTAAGAACGGAACATTCTTCTGAAGAGAAGCGCAAGGAACATCAGAGGGAATTGGCGATCGCACTCAATGAAAAGGCTAAAGAACGTCTCGCGAAACAATCCAGTGGCAAAGACAGTGAGAAAATTAGAAAAAGTACAGTCTCATACAAAAGTGTCAGTCAGATGCCAAGGGAAAATGAAGTGAAGGACTTGAAACTTTATGTTGGTAAGTGTAATGTATGTCATATAATAGCATTTATTCTTCTTGGATCCATAAAATATAGAGGTACTTTTTTATTAAAAACCTTCTTGCTACTATTGTAAACGCAAATTTTTGGATGCATGGATGTATGTTACTACATATCCAAAAACAGCTTAATGGATTTCAATGAAATTATGCACCAATGTAGGACATAGTCTGGAAGATTATATAGGCTACTAATTAAATTTAAATTCTTCTAGCTCTATTCTACATCAAGCTAGATTTTTATTCAGTAATAAAAATAGATAATTATAACTATTTCTATTTTTATTTTCAGATCGCAAATATGAAACAGTTATTTTACCTGTATTTGGTGTTCCTGTGCCATTCCATATTTCCACAATAAAGAATATTTCACAATCAGTGGAGGGTGACTACACCTACCTTAGGATAAATTTCTTCCACCCCGGAGCCACTATGGGTAGGAATGAGGGAGGGAATTATTCACAACCAGATGCCACATTTGTTAAAGAAGTGTAAGTATTATATGTACTTTATTTAAATATCTTTCAATCACGTGGTTGAGAATTCGAATCACGACTTTCGACTATTGGAAACCATTCCCAGAACAATATTAGAGCCTAGTTGGAGTGGTACAAAAAAAAAATTCCGATGTTTTTTTTTAAAAAAAAAAAACAACCTAGTCCATTCTTAAAAAGAAAAGCGACAGTAAGTTAACTAACTTTTTTTAACTTTTCCAGAACATACCGAAGTACAAACACAAAAGAGCCTGGCGAGATATCGCCGCCATCATCAAATCTCAACACAGGCTTCCGTTTGATAAAAGAAGTTCAGAAGAAGTTTAAAACAAGAGAAGCGGAAGAGAGAGAGAAGGAAGATCTTGTTAAACAGGACACTCTAGTTCTCTCACAGAGTAAAGGCAATCCCAAACTTAAGGACCTGTACATAAGACCTAATATTGTCACAAAGAGAATGAGCGGGTCATTAGAAGCACATAGCAATGGGTTTAGATTTACCTCAGTCAGAGGAGACAAAGTCGACATTTTATATAATAATATTCAAAACGCATTCTTCCAGCCGTGTGACGGTGAAATGATTATATTGTTACATTTTCATTTGAAACACGCGATTATGTTTGGTAAGTCACTTTATATTACTACACTCTCTGCTATACAACATTAATTTACTCGTCTATACCTCTTCCTAAATCTACTTTTAGTAGAATAAAATTCTGTGAAGTACAACAGAACACTAAAATTAAGAGCAATTTTTAAGACCAGTGTTCAACCATTCATCTCTTTCCGATTCAAAGTCCTTATTATATACCTGTCCTTATCTTAATTGCGTTGAGTCGACGCTTGAGATTTTCTTTCAGATCAATCTAAACTTACCTGTTACAATTTATATCACCTGGTAGTCAGAAGTCAGTCTAAATTGTAATAGCTCATATGCCCTCTCTCAATTTTATAAAGTGCCAAATGTTCTTATAGGTTAAAACATTTTTTGTCAATGAACCAATAGCAGCTTGTTTGACAATATAATAATTTCAGGTAAAAAGAAGCATGTGGACGTTCAGTTCTACACAGAAGTGGGTGAGATAACTACTGACCTCGGCAAGCACCAGCACATGCACGATCGCGACGACCTCGCCGCGGAGCAGAGCGAGCGCGAGCTGCGGCACAAGCTCAAGGTAGCTTTCAAGAGCTTCTGCGAGAGGGTCGAGAATATGACCAAACAGGAAGTCGAGTTTGACACACCATTCAGGTAACTTAGTATTCAGAAACAAATAAGGGAAGCCCTTTAGTGATTTCGTACATCAAAGTGACAAACTAAAGTCTCTGAGTAGTACTAAACTACTTGAATATCACATGTCTAGCTCCTAAATTACGTGTTATTTGTTACATAGGAAGTATTATCATTTTATTAACCACTATTATTTTTTGTCACTGTAAATACCATTAATATTGTATTACTAGCTTTTGCCTGCGACGCCGCTTGCGTGGAATTAAAAATAAAAAAAAAATTGTTATATCTGTGCCAGTTTCATTAAGAACCGTTTAGCAGTTTAAGTGCTAAACTCCAACAAATATTCATGCCATATTGTTTAAGAATAGAGTACATAGCAGATAAACCTCATTCTGCTATTATAAAACAAAAACATATTGAAAAACCAAAAAAAACCATATTTCAGAGAGCTAGGCTTCCCTGGAGCACCATTCCGCAGCACGGTACTGCTGCAGCCGACGTCGGGCGCGCTCGTCAATCTGACGGAGTGGCCGCCCTTCGTCATCGCACTAGAAGACGTAGAGTTGGTCCACTTCGAGAGAGTGCAGTTCCACTTAAAGAACTTTGATATGGTATTCGTGTTCAAAGACTACGCTAAGAAGGTGGCCATGGTTAATGCGGTGCCAATGAACATGCTGGATCATGTTAAAGAATGGCTAAAGTAAGTTTATTTAACAAGTTGGGTGTTTCCCAATTGATTGATTAATCCAATGGGAGTTTTTCCCATTTGGCTGATTGATCAATCCAATTGGATTTTTCTCTATTGATCTGACACTCTTTTAATTAATGTACAGTCACGTGGACTAAATGTTCATTATAATTAGGTTAGTAATAATTATCTACTTAAAAACATGTTTACTGATTATATTATTCCCGTAACTTAACATTGACTCGTGTTTTGATATTCCAGTTTAAATAAAAAAGTTAAAATGTTTGCAGACAGCTGTACATGTTTCAATTAGAATCGGTCATAGGGTTGCATGGAAAAAATCATATTTTCTTGTATTAGGTTTATTAATTTAATTATTTTTTCTTATAGTTCATGTGATATCCGCTACTCCGAGGGCATACAATCTCTTAACTGGACCAAAGTTATGAAAACTATAACGGATGATATCGAGGGCTTTTTCAATAATGGAGGCTGGTCGTTCTTGGATCCTGAATCTGATGCTGAAGACGCGGGACAGGTGGGTAGTTAAAATCAGTTGATAAACTTGCAATGTACTAAAATAGCATTAAATGTATTAACTCAACTAATGAAAGAGTGTCAGTAAAAACTTTTTTTTAATGTACTAGCTTTTCACCCGCGACTCCGTAAAACAATAAGCTTAGGCAGTTTACTGTTCTTCCAGACTTCTCTACAACTACGCCAAATTAATCAAGATCCGTTGAGTAGTTTAGGCTACAAACTCAATCAAGAACCATCCATCCATTTTCTAAACTTTCGCATTTATAATAATAGTATGAAGTATGATATAGGATTGCCAACAAAAAAAAAATGTATAGATATACATTATAGTGGTTGAATGTATTAACTCAACTAATGAAAGAGTGTTTGTGCCTTTTTTAAGCATATTTCACTTTATATTTATCCACAGGATGAAGAATCAGAAGAAGAAGACGATGCGTACGAGCCGACGGATGTAGAATCCGAGGAGGAGTCGGACGATGACTCGGAATATGATTCTGAAGCATCAGATGCCTCTGATGGATCTGGTGATAGTGAAGGTATTTTGAAAAATATTTTAACAGAATCATACTTGCATTACAGCAGTGACAAGTTTGTACAGTTGACATGAGTTTCCACTGCTGAATATCTTTTCTAACAACAAGAATTAGTAATTTTTTGCCTCAGTACTTGAGATTTAGTTAAGGAATTATTAATATCCTTAATATGAATTATAAAATTCACTTACTTAAGGAACTTTTATTTTAATGGATAAGGATATTATTGTTTTAAAACCATAATTAAGTTTATATTATAAGTATAAATTGTAACGTTTACAGGTGAGGAAGATGAAGAATCGGGCAAAGATTGGTCAGATCTGGAACGAGAAGCGGCGGAGGAAGACAAGAAGGAGCGTAACTACGACCACAGAGAGGACTTCGACAGGAAGAGGAAAGGAGGGAGGGACAGACCGCGCTCCTTCGACTCTGACGAAGGACACAGCAAGAAGAGCAAGCACGATAAGAGTTCCAGTCACAAGAGCTCCAGCCATAAGAGTTCCAGTTCACACCACAAGAGTTCCAGTCACAAGTCTCCATCTAAACATAGCAGTAGCAGGTTTGATAATTTATATTCTTCGCACGAATGTATAATACCACAATACCAGAGAAGACGTGCAGTTGAAGTAATTCCGCGTAGTCTGATCTGAGTATGCATGCCAGAGGACAGATTTTTTTTCCCCCATTTTAGTACAAGAGGAGGTGGATTTGACAGGGGTGAGACAAATTACTGGGCAGTAATCCTCTATCTAAGCGTCCCCTTGTCTTGATTAAAGGTAGGCATAGCTTAAAACAACTAATGTAGATAGGAAGCAGTTGTTTCATGTTTGGTGAATTCTGACTGCTTGCTCGTTTGTCACATGTTATTTTCATCTGGCTGAATTAAAGGAATTATTAAGTAGTTAAGAAAAATTTTATGTAAAATGCAGTAATTTTTTTACTAATAAGTAATGTTAATATCCAGTCCGTCGAAGAACCGCGACAAGCACCACAAGTCGTCGCACCACGACAAACACAAGTCGTCGCACAACAAGTCCAACGGAGAGCACAAGAAGCACAGCGACGGCAAGTCCTCGCACAAGCGGTCGCGCGACGACAGCCGCGAACACGAGCGCAGCTCCAAGAAACACAAGTCAGTTTCATCTATACTAATATAAACAGGAAAGATTTGTATTTTTGTATGTATCGAAATAACTAAGAAACTACTGGGCCGGTTTCAAAAGTTATTGCACCATCAAAAGGGTGCATAACCACCGAGTAACAAGCTGCTTTTTATACTTTTTTAATTCCTTGCTGACCAAGTCGCGAGCAACAGCTAGTTATATCTGTGTAAACTGAACATCTTAACTAAGGTTTCTCTAATGCATATGTATTGGAAATTGGACAAATATATCAATGAAATCAACCATCTTTTAATTGAAACAACTCGTACATTTGTTTGGCTTGTAAATATTAAAAAAAAAAATTGTTTGTTGCAGGAAATGATATGCCAAGTGAAGATTCTCAATTATTGTTTAGAAAACGGGTCTCCAACAGCTGAAGGCATGATGTTTTACTTAACTTGTTATCCAGTTTTGTACCAAGCCCAATGTCCACCTCTGTTTATGTGTAAATTGTGTTCCGACAGTTTTAATTCTATTTGTAGTATATATTGATATTTTCTAAATTCCAACAATAATGTAAGTTATACAAATAAAAAAGAAAAACAAAAATAAATTTTATGATTTTTCTATTTTTCGTATTATTCATTTAACTCTTAAGTTAAAGTCGAAAAAGCTATGGTAACAAAATAAATTAATCTTTTTTTAACAATTGCATGTGGATTTATTATCTTACAACGCAAGCTAAAGTAAATAAAATATAAACACTATTTACAGAGGAAAAAAACTAGCTTCTACATATTTGTAGTATGTAAATTGATCAGTTTCTCGATAAGTCCGTTTCTTGCGCGGTGACGACTGGCCCGCGCGGCAACACTGTCAGCCTCTTGGACTCGGGTAACTTGTTCAAATCTTGCGACTTTATTAAATCTTTTACTTCGTGAGTTTCACTCGAACTCCAATACTTCTTATTGACTAGCATAAGTAACATCAAGGCGGGTAGATGTATCAGAGAGAATCTGAACAGTTTCCTTGAACTACCGCTGTCGGATTTCTTATAAAATTGCCAAGCTGTAAATGAAAATATTCATTTAAAATACCTAAATTAACCTCTAAACTTCTAATTTTTTAAAACTGCATCATTTATTGGTTGTACTTACCTAAGTACATAAAATATAAATTTAATGGTAAAGACTCCAAAGCGAACCACATATTTGTCACATCTAAATATGAAGAAGCAATGCAGGTCGCCGTTATAATACCAGTGTGTCTTAACGCTACTCGTCTACATAAACCTGAAAATCAAGTAAAACTTCAACAATCTCAAATATTTAGGTATTCATAGGAGAAGGAAGAAGAAGACATATTACTTTCTAAGAATTTATTTAATTCCAGCCAATTTTAGCGCCAATAGCCTAATAGTACAGATTTTCGATCACGTGGTCGTGGTTTCGATTCCCGCCATTCGACTATTGTCGTAAACCATATTCTAGCAAATGCCTCTAGCTTAGTTGGAATGGTAAAATGAATATTAGTGAATTAACAAAAATCTACTAATAATTAAAAAATTCTGCAGAGACAAGGACAAAGCTTAATTACTGTTCTTACCAGGATCAGTAACAGCCATCATTCTGTAGCCAGCGCGTGAATAGTCCGGTCGCAGGTTCCACGAGAGAGCGTTAAAGTGCGGAAACTGCCATGAGTACAGCACCATGCCTAACACAAGCGCGCCCGCATCTAGACCGCCCGTGCAGCCCGCCCACCCCATCAACGGTGGTATCGCACCGACTGGGGAAAAAAAGAATTATTTTTTATGGCTCTGTGAGACAGAAGGATGACAATGGCTCCAAATTCTAAGAGACAAATTGAAATTTTTAACTCGTCCAACATAAAGATCTCTAATGCAACCTTTTAACAGATAATTACAAAGTGGCTCATTTTTATTTATTTCCATTATTTTAGCATCTTTTAATCTTTATTTTAATTTAAATACTTTTACTAAATATATGATAAGTGGTATTTGCAACATACCAACTGATCCAAGCCATGTGTTTAGAATAGACATCCTTTTCATAGGGGTATACACAGATGTATACAGCAAAAGGTTGCCTGCACCTAACGCTGCTGTCAGCGGATTAACCCCAAAATATAATACTCCAAGTCCAGTTGCACTTGTAACCGCTGCGAAACTAATAGCATGGACAGGTCTGGAAATAAAAAAAGTATCTATAATTACATTTCCCTTTAAAAACTAGAAGGAAACTAGACATAACTATCTTTCACTCATGACTTCCTTCTAATACAATTAAAAAACTAAAAATAAGAAGCCTATGTGTCCTAGACTGAAATCTATGTTAAATAAAAATCTATGCTAATCCATTCCGTAGAGGGTACTCTAACAAACATCCATGTAAATTATTGCATTTATTTTAGATCAAGGTAGGTACTTACTCTAGCAATCCTTTAACAAGCACTCTATTCTTAGTTCGTGACATTTGAGCATCAAATGGCACCTCATGATACTGATTGATAGAATTAGCCGCAGATGATACTAAGCCAGTGCCGACCGCACACAGGGCAAATGTTGTGAAGTTGAATGGTGCTGGTGCTAACGCATACCCTGCCATTGATGTCATTACTACTAGAGCTGAAATTACACAATGATGATACAATTATAGGGAAATTCTAAAACAAAACAACAATAAAAATCATAAATATTATGTGTCACTTTAAGCACCAATAGCCTAATGGTCTTATGGTGGAGGGTTCAAATCCCACCATTCAACTATTGTCGTGAACCTAATCCTAGGACAAGCCTAGAACTTAGTTATTCAACAAAAATCTACAGATTAAAAAAAAACTTAAATTAATATATACTTGACACAAAATGGGTTTATTATATTCATTAACCATCATTATTTTTAGAATATGACAATTATTACTTACAAGTCAAACGAAATTTTGATAGCATCATGCAATAATTGCCCATGTTGTTTTTAATGTCATGTGTTGGTGTTTCTTTCCATGCTCTGGTATCTTGTGGTACATTTTTGCTTTTCACATTTTGCAAGTTCTGAGTTTGTGTTGTTATTGGTAATTTACTTCTCCAGTTGTTTGAAGTTGATATTTTGGCCAGTTGCAGCAATTCTTTCCCTTGCTAAAAAGAGAAAACCAATTAATAGTAAAAAAAACCCATGTCCATCATTTCACTTCCTATGTTAGGCATATTTCAGTAGCTTTCTGAATAAAAATGAAATTAAACATTATATAAAAATATTAATGCTTTGCTTACACCAATTTTAAGCAGGACTGATTTTGTAGATAGGCCGTAGATGCCATGTTTTACACAAAAACTGCAGTGCATCACCTTTAGGTAGGACATGGTAAGGTAATTTCGGACCACTCTTCTTAGGTTAACATTCTGGAATAAAAAAAGTTGTAATGAAGTTATATGTTTCTAAAATAATTTCTTCGTGTAATTAATAAGTTTTATTTGTAAACTTGAATTAAATCAATAAATTATGTAATGTGTTATGGGTTTGTTTACTGCACTTGAATTGTCAACTTCATTCATTTTCACATAAGTGATGTTTTAAAAACCTCTGTTAATAAAAATTATATACACTTACTTAACAAGTTAGTTATTTGTGTGTTGAAAAATGTTAAAAAAATCATAGATATACATCTGTGGACAAAATATGATTTATAAAACTTCAAAATATAATAGGTTAGACTTGAATCTATGGAACGAAGGACGTCTGAATTTGACGTTTGAGTTGAGTTGAAAGTTCCGTTTGTTTTGTTCGTCACATCCGACAGATGTCAAAAGATTGGTCTATGGTTATTGATTTGATTAAGTTTACATGGAAGTCTCAATTCCACCTTAAAATACATATTTAACAAAGAGAGTGATCACAAATCGTATTCAATACGCCGAAAATGTTCACAAGTTTATCGTATTAACTTTATCTCGAGTTCTTTTTCTTATCATGCAACATTCATCCAGTGTTGGCAGAATAAATAGACTTCCACAGTTCTGTGCATGTTTAATGTTTCTCAAAAAAATATGTACCCAATGTTACAAATTTTAGTGTTTTTCTATCATGAAAAATGAAAATGACTAGACTTTGATAATTATAAATTACTAAAATTCAAGACTTAAAAGACAATTTTATAGCGTTTAGCATTGAAATATAAAAAAAATCCTAATGTAACTTAACTCTTTAAACCATACGAATCAAAGTGAAAATCAAAATTTAAGTTATTAAAGTATTAAACAACTGTAACTTGGTAAATATTCCTTTACCATTGCATATACATAGATCATGTTGTGAGTCTGTTCAATTTTAAATTTCAACATTTTATCGGCAAAAAATAATGTACTAATGGCAACCCAATTTTTTTGTTTTTATTTTGATTTCAATTGATATTCGAATACGGAAGTGGTTGGTTACCTCTGTTGTTGTCACTTTATTTGCGAAACATATTCAATTGCCTCTTTAGAACTATGTAAAAACGATACAAATTATGGTGAAGAGTTTGGTTTCCCCGTATTAGATTTCTCTAACTCTAAGCATGGCTTCGAGGGGAGATAAAGGGAATGGAAATGGCGAAGAGCAGATCGTCGAGGTAAATCGATTTGCCCTACATACCGTTGACAGTTAAACTTGACCTGAGTTATGTATGGATTTATGATATTGGTGTTTTTTAGACGCTGGCGGAGGTATTCCGGTGCTTCATTTGTATGGAGAAGCTGGTTGACGCGCACCTATGCCCTCATTGTTCGAAGCTCTGTTGCTATGCTTGTGTCCGGCGCTGGCTGACGGAGCAGCGGTCTCAGTGCCCTCACTGTCGCGCTGCACTTCATCTGCACGAATTAGTCAACTGCCGTTGGGTAGAGGAGGTGACCCAACAAATAGAAACCATGCAACAAAGTAACTCAGCTAGTCAACGAGAAAGCTTCAGGGACAGGTACTGTGTCTTAGATTTCAAGTAATATTCAAACAGAACTTGGTGTGAATCACAAACACTTCATAATTTTTGCAATCTTAAGTATAGCACAACAACATGTGTACATACATATCACAATTATTTTCATGCCTAAAAGATATTTTCTTTATTACATTTTTTTCTATTACATTGGATCACACATCTGTAACATTCTGATCGATAATACTTAAATTTGAGGGTAGAAATGAATAAAATTAAGGTTGAAGAAAGCTAAGAATGGATTAATATTGTGATAGTTAATTTCATTATTAGTGGAAAATTTGTTTCACATATATTTTACATTCATACTCAAAATCAATTAAAGAATTGTAAAGAACCTGTTATCTTTGAAAGTTTAATAATGTACCAAACTAAGAGATTTTCATGAAACATTCCGATTGGATAATATGTGCTTATAAGATCCAAAATTTTTAAAATCTAATAAACAAAAATTTTTCTATTCAAATGACATTGAGTAGGGAAAGTTCTAAAAAACAATGATGGGAAATACTTAATAAAATAACATTAAAGCCCACTGTTTTCCTATAAACAAGCCTTTGTATTTAATTGTTGAATTTCTTGAATGCTTTGTTTATAAATTCTACCACTTCTTATTAAAGCTGGATGTTGTTCAACATTCCATAAAGATTCTTTACTTATAAGGTCTTATTGGAACTAGTTAAGAGTGGTAATGAATTAATAAATACATTTTTTAAATGGATGAACATTATTAAAAGAGCAAACAGTTTTTTAATACCTATGTTAATGTCTTATAGATGTTTGCAAACAAAAATTAACACTTGCATAAATATATGCAAATGCAAGTTGTTGCCTGCAACTCGATCCTTCCAGACTACATATATGTCAAATTTCATAGAAATCTCTAACCTCTATATACATCCATCTGAACTTTCACATTTAATAGTAAAATGTAAATTAGTATAGACGAGCTGTTGCCCGCGACTTCGTCCGCGTGGTATCAGAAAACATACGAACTATATAAATAACAAAAAGCTATGTATCCCTTGGGAACTGGACATTTCTCAGGGATGAACCTCATGCCATGTGTACTCCAGACTTTGTTTTATATCTGTGCCAAATTTCAGAAGGATATGTTGAACCGTTGCAGAATGATCGAGTAAAAATTACAAAACTAAATTAATGAATCCCACAGGAACCGAAACTATTCCCGGGATAAAAAGTACCCTATGTGTTCTTCCAGACTATGCTCTAAACCTGTGCCAAATTTCATGGAGATCTGTTAAGCCGTTTAGGCTACAAACGCTAACAAACATCCATCCATCCATCCATCTAAACTTTCGCATTTATAATATTAGTAAGATTAGATCAATATATCTGATTTATTGCTATCTCTGTTTTTTCAAAGAAGAATGAGTGAGATGACCATATATTCTGTGCAGGTGTTTGCAGTTGAAACAAATTGTATGACAGTATTGTCTTCGTATAAGAATTCAGGTCACTATAACATGAATAATTGCAATAACAAGCAAAAACATTGTGTTTGTGTTTTTTTAAGTGTAATGTAATCCTTGTTATGCACTAATTAGTAATCAGATTCTGTTATGGCAATTAAACATGCTGTGTGCACATTAAAGCAGTATTTACAAATACAACAGAATTAATAAAATATTAACATTAACAAAGATAAGCTATATAATCATCCTGAAAGAATAGTTTAATCACTAGAGTTGATTCTCTATATGTGGGCGTCACACAAGATAAATATACATGTTTGGCTTATTTATCTTTTCAAGTTCATGTCCATACCTACTTCTGTAGTAGTTTAACACAATGCTATTCTGCCCTCTGATTCATCAAGGTCAATCTTTGACTTTCACACCACTAAAATGTGACTTACCATGATTATGATGCCCTGTATCAAGTGTCTACAGGTTATTAAATTGAATAAAGAATAAAATAGATGATATGCCCATCTAGATGATGAAAACCTGGATAAAGAGCGGGGTGATGATATTTTTATTGGGGAAAGTACCTTGAAGCACTGTTAGCCATGTCTAGTTGAGAGGTTGATGTCTCTACCTATCCTAAACTGAGAACGATCATACAAATGTTATAAATGCGTAAGGTTAGGTGGATTGATGAATGTTTGTAGGCTAAATGTCTGAAATTTGGCATTGATGTAAAGCATAGCCTGGAAGAACGCTACCCCTTATCTTCTAATTCCATGCGCATGAAGTCGCGGACAAAAGCTACTACTGGATAATCAATAATCTCTATGGACTTTTTGAAGATGTGTATATGTATCAGGTGTCCAACGCACCAGGAGAAGCTGACGGTGTACTGCTGGACGTGCCGGCGCTGCATCTGCCACCAGTGCGCGCTGTGGGGCGGCACGCACTCGGGCCACACCTTCAAGCCTCTGGAGGAGGTGTACGAGCAGCATGTGACTCAGATCCGCGACGAGGTCTCGCAGCTGCGGCGTCGGCTTATGGAGCTTATCAGTCTTGTACAGGATGTTGTAAGTCAATTGTGTTGTTTTTTACATGTAATCATTCTTAGTTTATGGTATTATCAGGAATACAGCAATTTTTAATTTATAAGTTTTGCATCATAATTTCACACTCAATGAATAGTTTTGGCAATTACTATACATTACTTTAAAAATGTGTAAGTAAATTAAAATGGCAAGTTTTAATTTAAGTTTGTTATTCTTGCAAGGAACGCAACGTAGAGTCGGTACGCGCGGCGAAAGACGAACGCGTGCGTGAGATCCGCAACGCAGTAGAGCTGATGATATCGCGGTTGGACTCTGCGCTGAAGGCCAAGCTGCTGACGCTGATGGGACAGAAGAATAGCCTTACGCAGGAAACGGAGCAGCTCGAACATCTGCTGCAAGAGATCGAGCACCAGCTACATTCCAGTACAAGGTGAATTCTTCTATTGCATCCGCCACAACTGCTGCAGTTAAAGTCATGGACCATTAGAAATTCAACAATAGGATTTTAGATTTGATCCGATTTTCGATCAATTTAGTCTATTAGATCGAACATAATTCTAAAACAATTCTTTGTCTTTTAGATCTGAATTAATAGCAAAGAGCGGAGAATTATCGAAGATGATACATCAAGTTCGCAAGAAGCCCATGGCCAGTTTCGTGACTGCTCCAGTGCCCGCTGATTTCCACAGGCAAGTATGAGACTCGCACCTTTCGATAACCAAACAATGGAAAGAAAAATAGTAAACGTGCTGAAGATATCAATACCCTTTTAACACTGGATATTTTCGAGTTCTCGTAATTTCGACTTTCTGTAATTTTGACTTCTCGTAATTCAATCTTCGCGTAATTCCGACTTCTCGTAATTCAATCTTCGCGTAATTTCGACCTCGCGTAATGCTGACTTCGCGTAATTCCGTGTTAAATGTTTGTACGTGTGTGACAGTGAAATAGTGCCGAGCTACGACAGCAGCACGTTCCCGCTGTCGGGGTTCACGCAGCTGCAGCACGCGGCGGCGCCGGTGTACTCCGCGCCGCTGCACGTCAACGGCCTCTGCTGGCGGCTCAAGGTGTACCCCGACGGCAACGGCGTCGTGCGCGGCAACTACCTCTCCGTCTTCCTCGAGCTCAGCGCGGGCTTGCCGGAGACCTCCAAGTGAGTATCTATATCGCCTCATACCCCCCCCCCCCTTGTAACACTTGATTACTAACATCATACATGTTAATAAAATTTATTTTTAGGTTATATTAAGTGTAATATTGAAAGTATTGAAATTGACCTTAATAAACATTATCTGAAACTTACATTGAATGCCAAACTCTGTTAAGTTTTATTTTTATACTAAAGTTGTTGCTTACGACTCCGTTCAAGTGGAATAAAAATTATGTGAAAAAGATTGTTTTAAATCTTTCCTCTTTATAAGTTTAGATAAATCTTAGTTACTTATGTAACCTATAAATGACCGAGAGTGGCAGTTAGTTTTAATTTATTTTTATATTTAATATCTACTGTGACAAGAAAACTTTTATAATAATTCTGGTAGTAACATACGATATTTGATTATTCCAAGCTTTGCTAAGTTAAGGGTAGGCAAGAGGTGAGTTATACGATATATTGCGGCTTCACTCGTTGTAGTGTCTGTGTGCGAGCATGTTTGCAGATTTGTTGAACCGCTGTCCATCATTTGTAGATATGAAACTTCGTATCGTTTATCATTTCTCCTATATTCTATCTACAATGAAATAATATAAAAAGATGAATAAATGTGTTTTACTTGATCATAAGTACAAAGATGCATTATTTTTATATAAGGGAAAGTTATCTTGTTTACAATTTTATTACTCTATTTGGGAATTAACAAATACATGTTTGATCAATTTTTATGCCATTCATTAATTTTCTATAGGCGATATATTCATAAGCAATAGATATTAAAATTATACAATCTGTATTTTAAAAAATGAAACTTATTTTGAACAGAAAACATAAACATATTCATTTTCGCAACTGTATGCTAAAATATTAAATGCAGCTTTTTCCGTTCGTGGTATTTTTTGGTTGAATTAGCCAATATGTTGGAAGCATTGCCCTAGCTTTGTTATAATACTTCTATATGCTATATCTGTTAGTGCTATATGCTGCTATCTATGTCAATAGTCATACATGTAGAATATACTCTTAAAATGTAGAGAATGTTATGAAATTCAATCAAAGAGCATATAATAACAAGGTATATTTTTACCGAAATATTAAACAAAAAGTTTTTAAGCAATTTTTATATGTTATAACACAACAAAATTAACAAAAAGCGTACAAAAGTAATGTAAAATAAACTTATTGAACCAAAAAAATGAAAAAACCAAAGAGACTTAGTTTCTATGGATGCTTATCGCTTACTTTACTGAAGTGTACTTTATTGCAAATAAAGTGTACCATCGGTGGGTACATTCAGGTACGAGTACCGCGTGGAGATGCTGCACCAAGTGTCGCGAGACCCCAGCAAGAACATCGTGCGCGAGTTCGCGTCCGACTTCGAGGTGGGCGAGTGCTGGGGGTACAACCGCTTCTTCCGCCTCGACCTGCTGGCCAGCGAGGGCTACCTCAACCCTGACGCCGACACACTCATACTCAGGTACCCGAGTGATACTACTGGCAAAACACATATAATATACTAGCTGTTGCCCACGACTTCGTCCGCGTGGTATTATAAAACAGACGAACTATGTAAATAACGTGTCCCTCGGGAACCGGACATTTTTCGGGGATGAACCTTATCCCATGTGTACTTCAGACTTAGTTTTATATCTGTACCAAATTTCAATAAGATATGTTGAACCGTTGCAGAATTATCGTAAACATCAAAATACGAAATTAATGCATTCCACGGGAACCGTAACTATTTCCGGGATAAAAAGTGGCCTATATGTTCGTCCAGACTATCCTCTACATCTGTAGCAAATTTCATCAAAATCTGTTCAGCCGTTTAGGCTATAAACTCTAACAAACATCCATCCATCCATCCATCCATCTAAACTTTCGCATTTATAATATTAGTATGAAGTATGATAAACTAGATATAGGGAACAACATTTTTTGACCGGTAACTTCTTTGAAAGGTATTATGTTAGTTGTCAAGTTTAGTACGCCACCTCATGCCCTTGTATTGACATGTCATAAAACATTTTAAACTAAACAGTGTCAAAAAATTAAACAGTAAAAATTAATTTAATGACACCTATAATTATATCAATCAATACATTAACTCAATTCAATCAAAACCACATGTCAATTATGAGGACCTATCAATAGGTCTTTTTTTTTTAGCGGCTACATGCCGCTCTCTTGTTCCCGTAACACATTTTAAGTCAGGGACCTGGGGAGCTTTATTTCTTTATTTTTAACTTAAAACAAAAATTTACATTAAAATTTAATTTCTATCTGTCACAGTTTGTATTTATCTAAGCCTCATATAAAAACAATACAATATTACAATTAAATTTAATCAATAGACCTTTAGTGGATCATGTGAAATATGTCTCAAGTGTCAACTACGCTTCTTCTATATATATTTTTTAAATTTCTTTGCTACTGGCACTGGTTAGCACAATTATCAAACTGCTTTACATTCTTTGTATATTCTGTTTTTATTTCCCAGGTTTCAAGTGCGACCCCCCACCTTCTATCAGCGTTGTCGGGACCAACAGTGGTACATCAATCAGCTGATAACGATGCAGAATCAACACATTTTGCAGATAAATGATCTCAAAGAAGTGAGTTGCTTTATTACAAAAACTAGTTTTCGTCCGCGAATCTGTCCACGATTTAAAATTCTTAATTAGTAGCATATGTGTTCTTCCAGACTTTTTTAATCGAGATCCGTTTAACCGTTTACGCTGTAAACTCTAACATTCATCTATCTAAACTGTTTATATATAATAAGTTTACTGTATAAACACACATTTTCTTTATTAAAGTGTAAAATGTGTTATATTTCCAGCGTTTAAGTTTGGAAATGTCACGTAACTCGATAGCGGCGACGCGCGCGCCGAGTAGCGCCGTGCCGTCGCCTAGCAACGGCGAGGACAACCCCGCGCAGAACAACTCCGTGGACGGAGCCCTCAACGACTCCCTGCTCTACGGCAGCCAGTGGAAGTTTAACACCACGCAGGGCATCATCAATGGACAACGACTCACCAGTCCAGGTATTCATATTTTAATGCCATGTACCAATGTTAATGTCATTGAACGCAGTCATATCGCACGTCAAAAACTAATTCTCTCATCAATGATTTTTGTTTAGCTGATTTCCCCTTTTTCACCTTGACCTTGTTAATACTTGGAGCATGTCTGTTTACGGTTACCGAATAAGGAATTTATTAATTTTTAATTGAACTTTAAAATTTGAATTGAAAAATACAACTTATTAAACCAATAAACATTTATTCTTTCAGTTACCGAGTGTATAGTTTTATTTAAAAAGCTTACCAACGTATCCGTTTTCGCGGATTTAAAAAAAAATTAAGGATAGGCCACCTACCTTTTAGATTTTTTTGCATGAGATATTAGTATGAAATAATAATGACACGTTATATTTCCAGCGGGAATTCTAAACACGTCCCTATTCCTGGACGACACGACGCGCAACAATGACGTGTCGTCGCAGTCCGGCTACGGGTTCGGCGACTACGCGCCGCTCGACCGCCGCCTGCACGCGCACGCGCACGCGCACGCGCAGCACGCGCTCGACGCGTACAACCTGCCATCCACTTCAAGGTCACACACAGACTTATATACTTTAAACTTTAATTTTATATGAATTCGAAGAAAATTACTGTAATTATTAAGTAGGAAAATGAATACAAAAATGATTCGAGCGTATTCCAAATAATAGACTAATTTGATTGCTATTAATCGATAGTTAGATCGATTTGATTTGAACATAGTAAATATAAATCTATATTTTTTCTATTATAATAAACACATTTTTTTGTTATGTAGGATATCAGCAATCACAGAAAATTTGTGAAAAAATCTCTTAATAATAAGCCTTAGACTTACGGCACACTATAGTCAACATATTTTCATGGTTTAATTCAAGCGTTGAATAATTTTGATATAACATAAGGAGTGAAATGCTGAATCATGCGGGTAAAGCCGCACAAAAACAACTAGTATATTACAAGATCGTATGCTTAATAGTGTGCCTGTTTTCGCAGGTCTGCCAGTTCCCTGGCGGCGGGCAGCGGCACGGCGGTGGGCGGGGCGGGTGTGGGCGGGGGCGGCGCGGGGGTCGCGGGGGGCGCGGACAGCATGGCGCTGGTCAGCCTGCACACGCTGCTGAGCGCCGCGCGCCCGCCCGCGCGACTGTCGCGACACGACAAGCTGCGAGCGCCCGCGCAGCCCGCCCCGTCCGCCGCGCCCGCTGCCCCGCCCAAGGACACCGCCCTCACTGGTAACAGAACAAACTTTGATACAATCTTGTTATTTTACTGTATCAAAAGATTCACCCTTTCAGGAGTATTAAAAAAGCTTTGAAATAGAACAAATGCATTTAAAAGTATCTTTTTACAGGACGCTTTTAAAACGCGACGCTTATTAATTGCGCAATGTTCAATAATGAGCACTGGGTGAAAGAAATAAGATTAAAGTCATCGTTTGTGCGAGATCATTAAAAAAACGCTTTTGCAAATGAGAATAGAACTCCTTTGGGCTTTGACAATTTTTAGAATGTTGTGTAATTAATTTTAAACGCCTTAAGGGCGTTAATATTAAACCACGCCCCCCATGCTACAGTAGAGTGTGGCCCAACTTAAGTTTAAAATATTTTTGTTTAACTTGTAGCTAGTGTATTTGAATAGATCTTGTAATGTGTTACAGCGGTAGCCAGCAGTCCAGTGACGGAGGTGACTGTGGCGACGAGCAGCGCGGCGCTGTGCGCCTCCATGTCCTCGCCCGAGCTGAACTGCGCGGGGGCGAAGTCCGAGGCGGTGCTGGAGCCGTCGCCCGACGCCGCGGAGAGCCCCAACGCCACGCAGAGTCCCCACGTCGCCTCAGAAACTAGTAGTGACACCGGTGTAAGAATCTAATCTAGTATATGGTTGTTTAGCTTTAATAAAAATCTAATACGAATTAAATGTTCTCTAATATTGTTTTAAAGGAACTTATGTTCACGGAGCTTGAGAGTTTGACAGAAGATATCAACCCCACCAATGTTGATGAGAACTCTAACGAGGAAAATGATGTTGACGAGGAAACAATGTCTGGTGAGTGAGAAATTGACAGTACCTTTTATTGAGTTGAGAACGTTCATGATCTATTTAGAGTATATTTAGAGTAGACCTGATGAACATTTTAAATGAGCTCAAAGAACTGCATCTAGTGCCATTCACCCAAAAGTTCCCACCTCCAGTTCCAATCTCATAAGTCATCCATCCTTGTCCTATCCCCGTTCCTATCCGCAGACGGGTCGTCGGGCAGCGGGTCGTGCGAGTGGTGCGCGCTGGGCGGCTCGCCCGCCTCCCCCGCCTCCCCGGCCTCCCCCGGCTCGCCCGCCTCCCCCGCCTCACCCGCCTCACCCGCCTCCCCCGGCTCGGAGAGGTGTGGGGTCGGCAGCGGGGGGCGGGGCGTGCCGTGCGCCCGCGCCGCCTACCGCCGCGCGCGCGCCCGCCCCAAGCCGTACGCGCCGCGCCGCGCCCCCGGTTGCGATGCTTGCGAAGATAATTATCAATAAACACATAGAACATGAACGTTCTCGAGTTTTTGATGTGATTCGGAAGAAGTTCATAATCGCTTTTAGTTCATTTTAAATTAATGTATTTTGTTACTTCATTACATTACACTTCAAAATAAACAGTTTCCTTGTTTGACTAAAAATTTTGCACCTATGCTTAATTAGCTTAAAAAATTCTAACGATGAATAGTAAGTTGTATTAACATTTTATCTGAAGAGATGTTTTAAAATGAATTCGAATCTATATAATAGAACGGATGAATGTATTTTCCAGGCGAAAACGATGTGGAGGGTGCGTACGGAGTGTCAGCGGAGGCGGGTGCGGCG